TGTATTTCTTCATCACCAAGTAAACTTACTGGGCAGTGGGCAGGAAAGGCCTGCTTTTAGAAGAAAGATTACTCTTTCAGAAGAAGGAAAAAAACCAGCTTTAAACTAACATACTTTAGAACCTAAGTCCTATCTCCTATTTGAGAGTATCTATGTGGTAAATGATCTCTGGAAATAAACAAAACGATTTCCATATCCAACCACCAGGGACTGGGTAATAAATAAGAGGATATTCTTAAAATGGATTTAGTCAATGAAAATCATGTTTTCAAATATCATACAAGTGAGAAAGTATAAAACACATATCTGGCACAATCATCTTTTGTTTGAAAAGATGTGTAGATATATACATAATACACAGAAAAATGACCCAAATGAAATATGCCAAATGTTAACAGTTACTATCTTTGGATTGTAGTATTAAGAGGTATTTTAATTTTCTTTATATTTTCTTGTGTATCCCTCAATTTTATATATTAAGCATGTGCTAATTTTATAATTTAGAAAAGCATTATTTGAAAATAAAGTTTGCTGTCTTAAAGTATCAGCAAAATGGAATTAGATTAAAATTATTCTTAAATAATAAACTTTAGCCTATCTTAATGCCTTTTAGCAACAAACCAATTTACATTTTAAAAGTTTGTTTTGCATACACACTGAGGTATAACAAACAAAAGATGTTCTATACTAATGTATTTTTTACAGATGAGCTTATTTTTAACTCCATGGGGACTTAATAAAATAAATAATGGCTCTGTCCATATCAACCTTTTAGAAGGTGTGAGCATAAGCTAAAATATAAATGAGTTCTGTTACAGAAGAAGCTGTAAGTTTTCATGACTTTGCAGCATCTTAAGGTTTTAAAATAGAATAGCCTGTGAAAAGAGAAGAGAGTTCTAAACGGAAAAATTAGTACTGACCTAGGAAGAGATTCACATGAGAAAGTGAATTCTTGAAGCCTAATTTACAAATGCCTATGGAATCCCATAACACAGCTCATTACACATGGATTTAGATGTAACACAGAGTAGATCTGACAAAGAATCAAAGACCTTTAAGCTGAAAGCTTCTTTATTTTGCAGGGGAGGACATGAACTTTGCAAATGAGGAGCCAGAGAGAACTGACTTGCTCAAGGTCACGTGACCTGTAACTCAGGTTTCTTGACTTAGTTCACTAGATCAGGAAAAGCCATTACTCAGCTAAGAGACATGGTATTGTTTCTGACTTCATTTAACATATGTAATGCAAATCTCTGTATCAATGAATCACCTAGACCAAGTTTCTGTTAATTTCACAAGAGTTCCTGGAAGCAATGATGTGGTGGCACCAGAAAGAAACTCGTGATAGCCCAAGGACCACAGTTACATCTCATCTAGCCTTGCCTTTTCCTCTTTGGGAAAGGAAATCTAATTGCCCTGCAGACACAACCATAACACTGACCTCCCTTTTTTCCTGGGCAGAGGAGAATTAAATAAACCCTGGGACTTCTCACTTGAAACAGAACATCAACACCCATTAAGTGTGTCTACTACACAGTTAACCTATCTTAGAAGAGTTAGTACCTCTTCAGACACTAGCAGAAAACAAAGCTTCCAAATCATTATCAGGATGGTAGGATGCTTTTCTTTACTTGTTTAAAAAAAAGAAAAAAATCCATACATGAGAATAAGAATTATGGACACCATGTATGAAACGTGCCCTAACATAAAGTTTTCCTTTCCCCAGGCCCTTCACTGCAAAGACTCTATGTTTAAATGTTTCCTTTACTTGCAGCATGCTAATAGCCACTAGATTCCACTTGCTAATTGATAAACAGGTGTCAAGCATAACACTGGATTTAGAAGGTGAGTTTTTAGTACACTTTATCCTATTACTAAGCCCTCAAAACAACACAGGCTATCACTTGTCCTAAAACATGCAGTCTTAAATGACGTGCTACCACATTAGAGGTTTGGTGTGAGTCTTATTACTATGTAATAATTGGTTTTCCTTCTAATGTGTACTATCTTTTAATTATGTCTGTGAAGACCATGAAAAGAATGGAGACAATTTTCTAGAGTTGTCACAAAAACAGTAAAACTGACAAATTTGAACCAAATCTTAAAGAAAAACTGAGAAACAGTATTTCTCCTAAAACATGTCTTTTGACTACCACTGAATTTAGCAAGTATTTGCTTAGCCCTCCATTTTATTTAAATAATGAAGAAAAAGAACATGCACAAGAGGGCAGTGTTTGGTTTTGCTAGTCTGTGGATTTCTTAGTTTCCTAATGAAAAGACCAAATGTGAGTGATAACTAAGGTCATACCAGTGGAAACCACGGTACCTTGGAGAGTAAACTGCACTTAACCAGTTCCCAAACTCCTAGGGCACAGGTAGTGGTATACTCCTTCCTCCATTTGCTCCACTTTAGCTAGATGCCAGTTGCATCTTGCTCTCTCTGTTTTGTCAGCCTTCGCTGGTAGGAAGTAGGTTTACCAAAGAGGTTTGTAAGGTGACCCAGAATTAAGTTTCTCATTCATGGTGTACAAGGTGTCCCAAGGCAGGGAATCTATTCTTTTTTTTTTTTAAGTGCTGAATTATAAACTGGTCACTTACAAACTTGACACGACTGATCAATAATTATTATAACATGGAGATCAACAGAACAGGATTGATAAGGATCAATCCATTGTTTTTTGCATGGTTTTTCTTATGATCAATACTATGCTTCTGCAAAATGACTACCTCTTGCTAAAAGGCTATTGTATTGTCTGTATCTAAAATGAGAGCTGGTCCTCCCAGGGATCAATCCAAATTCCTTTTTTTTTTTTTTTTTATTATTATTATACTTTAAGTTCTAGGGTACATGTGCATAACGTGCAGGTTTGTTACATATGTATACTTGTGCCATGTTGCTGTGCTGCACCCATCAACTCGTCAGCACCCATCAACTCGTCATTTACATCAGGTATAACTCCCAGTGCAGTCCCTCCCCCCTCCTCCCTCCCCATGATAGGCCCCGGTGTGTGATGTTCCCATTCCAGAGTCCAAGTGATCTCATTGTTCAGTTCCCACCTATGAGTGAGAACACGCGGTGTTTGGTTTTCTGTTCTTGTAATAGTTTGCTGAGAATGATGGTTTCCAGCTGCATCCATGTCCCTACAAAGGACACAAACTCATCCTTTTTTATGGCTGTATAGTATTCCATGGTGTATATGTGCCACATTTTCTGAATCCAGTCTGTCACTGATGGACATTTGGGTTGATTCCAAGTCTTTGCTATTGTGAATAGTGCTGCAATAAACATACGTGTGCATGTGTCTTTATAGTAGCATGATTTATAATCCTTTGGGTATATACCCAGTAATGGGATGGCTGGGTCATATGGTACTTCTAGTTCTAGATCCTTGAGGAATCGCCATACTGTTTTCCATAATGGTTGAACTAGTTTACAATCCCACCAACAGTGTAAAAGTGTTCCTATTTCTCCACATCCTCATAAGCAGCAAACCAAGCATGGAGAACAGCATAGATTCTTTTAAGAATCAGAGGTGCATTGGTCTGGGATTATCCTGATATGTCTCTGAAGGCAGAGGGAGAAACACAATACTTTATATACAGGGATACTTATTACTTTTTCTTAAACCTAGAGTTTTACTTCTTTTTTCTTAGGTTTGCTGCTGTTTTAGGTGGGAGTCAATCAAACTACAAGGATATAGATAAATGAGTCTTCAATTGCCTTTGTTTGTTTATTTATTTATTTTGAGACGGAGTCTCACTCTTGCCTAGGGTAGAGTGCAATGGCGCAATCTCAGCTCACTGCAACTTCCGCCTCCTGGGTTCAAGTGATTCTCCTGCCTCAGTCTCCCAAGTAACTGGGATTACAGGTGCGCACCACTATGCCTATTTTTCTGTATTTTTAGTAGAGACAGGTTTCACCATGTTAGCCAGGCTGGTCTCGAACTCCTGACCTCAGGTGATCCAACCGCCTCGGCTTCCCAAAGTGCTGGGATTACAGGCATAAGCCACTGTGCCTGGCCCTCAATTGCGTTTTAAAAAGCCAAATTAATTCTGATCACATCTGACCAAAAAATGTGCTACTTATATTAATACTGACAGAGCTGGAAAGTTATCTTACCAATTGTATACAAGCTAGATAAATTTCTTCACAGTCACACTGCAGAGCAAAAATATTTTGATGACAAGCCTGGTAAGATGATGATAATCACATAATAGTGTCAAGAAAGACAGAAACATAATCTGGCATTTTAATTTAATGGATGACATGTCAAAGTAGGAACCAATTAAATAGAATATATGGATGAGACACTATTATAATCAGGGCTCCTAGGTTTTCAAAGTACTCTTAAGATCACTTTTAGATGCCTCCTACCACTAAACTAGCACAGTCCATTCAGATCCTACCAACTGAGATCTTCAAACACCAAAGACATATACAAGCCTCTGTACATGTTGTGTATGTTTAGTATAACAATAATGATTTCTTAATGCCATTAAGGCCAGAACCACATTTGTCTTGGTAATTACTGTATTGCCCAGTATCTATTACAATGATTGGTACAAAGTAGAAGCTCAATACATATTTGCTTGAGTTTTTGAAGGTTCACTAGTTTTCTGTGAAGATTTTCCAATTCATCTATAAGTTGATTTCCCTTGGTATTAATGTTTGTAATATGATGCCTAGAATTCTGCTCTGGGATGAATCATATACTTAACTGGTCACTCGTTATATACAATACCAGTATTTACCTAACTGTGCTTAATTTATTTGTAAACTGTGGCCACAGAACATTGTTATGAGGAACATGGGGTCTTTTGCCCTGTTTAATTGGCTTGGGGACTAGAGAAATAAGGGGTATACCATTTGTACAATATGAAACTGCTGGCAAAGCACCTCTATGAGGATAGGGAAAAATTTTAATCTGCCTCAAAAACATCATGATAATTTCTCTTCTGGCTATTTCTGTTTGACCAAAAAGGAACCAGGAAGTATAATTTGCCAATTTTAAAATGCATTTAAGCACAGTTCATCTTCTTACTGGCTATGAGAAATGGATTGGGATAACTTTACCTGTCAATAAGTGGGAAAGTTTTGTTGTTTTTTCCTCAAATAGTCTAATGGATTGAAATGAGGTCATGTCCAGGCTCCTGCTGTCTCATATAAATGTTAAGAACTGCCTTCTATTTGTAGAGACATACAGGAGGTGTAGTTCATTATGTTCCACCCGAGTCATTCCATAAGGAGTATAAAAGAGGGTAAACTCCTTTTAAAATACAACTTCCAGCATAATTAATTCCAAAATTTATAGTGTATTCTTCCAGCATGTTCTCTTAGAACAGCAATGACATCAGAAGAGAGGGGAAGGAAGACCAGCTTGCCAGGGGTTGCAGTGGTGGCAAAACAACCTAAGGGAGGGCAGAGTGTATGTTTTACATCCTTGTTCATTACAGGCCAGGACAAACATCACATTTTAAAGGACTCAACTCTGCTCCCACAAAATGTTTTTTTAAATGGATGAAAATGATATAATGTTCTAAGGAAAACGACACTGAGGCATTCAAAAGTAATTTTCCTCCTTTTTTGAGTCATTTTGATTGGATCACTTTAAATCTTCTAATTATTATTATTTATCATCAAACTGATTTGAATGACTTAGGATTTTAACAAAATTAGAAAACACTGCACTACCATATCTCCCACATTGAGTCTAACATGTACGGTGGGGAAAAAGGGTGGTAACATTTTCTAATGTTGTTAAAGTTATAGGATCTTCTTAAATATTCGATCAAGTTCAAGTGACACTCTGTAATATCAGACTTCATACATAGCACTATGCCTGCCTACAGACCAGCCGAGTATAACCAAACCCTAGCCCAAAGGAGCATAAAAACTGCACCACTGAAATACCAAGTAGACTTTACTCAGCAGATGGTGAAGTAATTCATTCTGGCAAAGATATTGCCCAAATTTTCATCCTAGCAATGTACCTCTATAATAGAAGTCAGTTAAAGAAAAACTGAATTATCTAATTTTTGTTAACAATGTACCTGTGTAACACGAATCAGGAAAAAAAATTGATCAAAAGTTTTTTTTCTTCTTTCTAACTGAAAATGATTAGAATTTCAAGATGTTTCCTTGATCACGTAGAAAGGGGAATCTTATTTAGGCTTCTGTCTTTAAAAAGGAAGGCTAGAAAGATTTTTCAAAACAGTTTCAATTTTTTAATTCCCAGGATGTTTTATAAATATTAACAGAAAATCCACTCCCCACCCGCAAAATAGTTTGAATCATTGGCATAAAAGAGTTATTACTTCTGTTTTATATCTGGGAGAAAAGTGGCACCAACAATTCCAAAAACTGATTAAGAAAAATGTTTTTTGGTTATTAAAAGAACATACTTCACATAGATACAAATAGCACGCTTTGAGAAAGACAAATGTTGCAAATGTCACAATGTAAGGTCATTCCCAATCTGACTAGAACCTACTCACCCAGCCTCATTTCCCACCCGACTGAGCAGACACTCAGCAGCCTCATTTTTCCAGTCTCTGTGCCTTTGCACATGCTGCTCCCACTGCTGGCCATGTCATTCTTCCTCTTTTCACTCCATCAAAACTGTACTGCTCTCCAGGACCCCACTCCACTGTGACCTCAAGGTTTCCTTTCCTTGCACCACTCTCCTGTGTCCTTACTGTACTTGGTACCCATCTCTTGTGTGAGATTTTTAACCTGACTCCTCCAATGGATTTAGCCTGCCAGGGCTAGGAGCTAATCTTTCCATACTCCTCAGCACGGGGTACAGCGTTGAGGACCAACACTATTAGAAAAAGTATGTTCCTAAAGCCATACCAAAGTACTCCTATTAGATAGGTATGGTTATTAAAATCGTTTATAACAAGCAATTTCCATAAGGACACATAGCTGGTGAGTAAGAGGGTAGGGCCTGGAGCACCAGTTGTTCTAACTCCAAAGTCTGTGTTTTTAACCATAATGTCATCAGGAAAAAAAAAAAAAAAAAAGTTAAAAAAAAAAAAGTACAAACTATTCAGTATATAAGGTAAATTATTTATTTCTCTCAATATTTATATTTGGATATTTATGGATTTTTACATTATTATATACTGTTTCTTCTTTTGCTTAACATTATTTCATTTACCTTTTTCTTCAAACTTACATAGGCCATATCTGTCATCTTACGATGATATTCCACTTAATAAATTCATCATCACTGACTTAGCCACTTGCTACAAAGCTATCAGAGGTGAATGTAAAGAAGCTGGAAAAACATTCACTGAATTTCCTATCCAAATATAACCACCATCTTGGTCAGACACATGGGCTCTTTGTTATGACATAAGAAGAAGATATCTTCACCTAGTTCGCTCAATTCAGCAGCAACATAATAAAGAAGAAAATGAAATGTAAGTTTTTTTGCAACTGTAAAGCGCTGAAACAAGTTTTAGAGATAAACTGAAAAATAAGAGAAGCTGATTTCTTCTAAGCAGTAGGAAGGTGAGTTTTTAGTTTTCTCATTTATAAGGAAGAAGGAAGTAATTCTAACTACCTAGACTGATAAAAAGGTAGGTGAACAATAATTTCTTAGGATTTTCAGATTGCAGCAACCTCAAGATACTTCATTTCTGTAATGCATAACCATAAAAACTGAGGGAACCAGAATCCAAGCCGATTGCTAAACAAACTATTAAGACAGCTCATGAGAATATGCATTAAAACACAGTCCTGAAGAACTGCTCTTCTGCAAGAGCTTAGTTATGGATGTGATTTTGTTTTCTGAAGTTAGTCTGTTTGTGTTGTTATGCTAAGAATCAGTTATTTTCCAAAGATTTAATTTTAGGGTGGGAAATAATTTCTTATCCAAAGCCACAGAATCTCAGAGAAAACAAAGACTCTACACAAAAACAGGAAATTATTTACAATCATAGCATAGAGTGATATAATAATTTTAATAACTTGAAGGACCTTTTAAGAAATTATATAACATTTACTAATTGATTTTAAAAATAGGTATTGATCAGCCGGGCGTCGTGGTTCACACCTGTAATCCCAGCAGTTTGGGAGGCCAAGGCAGGCAGATCACCTGAGGTTGGGAGTTCGAAACCCGCCTGACCAACATAGAGAAACCCCATCTCTAATAAAAATACAAAATTAGCTGGGCCTGGGGTGGCACATGCCTGTAATCCCAGCTATTTGGGAGGCTGAGGCAGGAGAATCACTTGAATCTGGGAGGCGGAAGTTGCAGTGAGCCAAGATCGCACCATTGCATTCTAGCCTGGGCAATAAGGGCAAAACTCCGTCTCAAAAAAAAAAAAAAAAAAAAATTTGCTTTTTACATAAAACAATTTTTTTTTTTTACATGAAAAAAAAAAAAAAAAACTGGAACCTAATACTTTATTCAGAAAGTATAAGATACACTAAAGCATATACTTCAGTTTTACATTATAATCAACAAAACTAAGAACAGAGTTGGAGGGTGTGCTTAAAAGAAAAAAGTATAAAAGAAAAGAAAAAAGAAATAGACAGAAGTCTTTTTGGCAAACTAAAGTACCAGAAGGTGAGGAAGAGGAAGATACAGAAAGGAGTTTAGGAATGAAAATAAACAAAAATAATAATAATAAGGGGGCCTAAGAGAAACAAGAATAAAGAAACAAAGAGAAGAAATTTGGGTTAAATGAAATAAGGACTTTTGTCTTCCTCATCTCTGTGTCCCAATTCTTAGTCTAAACCTTAGCAACAGTCAATAAATGTTTACCACATAAAAGTTAAGGAAGATAAAGGGCTAAGAAGTTCAACAAGTAGAATTATTTTTCAAATCATATTTTACGGTTCCCATAACTGTAAGGTCTCAAAATAAGCAACTTAATCTTATTTCTTGTGTGAACGTAACCAAGTTAATTAGTCTCTTTGAATTACAGGTTCTTGATCTAAACAACAAACTGAACTAGATGATCTTTAGGGTCACTTCCTTATTCTTTGCAGTAATGGTGACCAAATATAGGTAAATGAAATCAAAGGAAGGCTCTCAGCTTACACCTGGATTGCTTACATGGAATCAGTGGTCAGTAGATGCAATTTATATTTTTTTGTACAACAAGAGCAAAAGTCACTTACTGTTCACATGACACAAGCTGCTGTCCAAAGAAACATCCAGATAGGTTTTAATTTCTCAGAAGAGCAATATTAGAAAGGATTTATAAGTATTTCTGCTCTAATTATTTTTCTGGCTAGGAGTAATCTTACTGACATTAGAAGGGTCTCTAACTCCATAGGTTTCTGCATAAGTGATATACATATTGGTACATTATACAGAATAATGAAAGATATAAACAAAATAGCATCACTATCACAATGCCATAACAAAGTGAGGATACTGCTAAGGAAGAAAAACATGATTATTTTTGCATTTTGCAAAGTAACAGGATTCTCTTCAAGAGGTAGAGTGTTTTTTTTTTAAGATGCGGAAAATCCTACTAGAAGTTATTTCTTCATTTTTAAATGACAATTAAGAAAGCCTCAAATTATATAAAGCAAACAAGAAAAAATATATTAAATGAAAGCATAGCTTCATGAAACGAGAGAAGAAGTGGAGAGAGCTTCCTGGGTAAATATTTTTAAAATCTCACAGTGGTTAATAAAGGTAATAAAAGAATAACAGGAAGTGACACTAGGAAAATAGGGCAGGTTAATATTATTCAGAGATTGCTGTAAAAGAACACAGAAGAAACTGATCTTCCACAGTCACCTGAAGCTTGAACCTATGAGTCTCTTTTGTCTTTACACATACGAAAGTATTACTACAGATCATCATATCATCACTCAGCATAGTTCAGAGTCAGAAGACTAGGAAAAGAAATGTTCTTTGCAGGTCAGGGTTTTGATGACTTGCAAAACACTAGGCAAGTTGCACTGCAGTTGTCTGAACCAACCACACCCAGTCTGCAGTTAAATATAGAATTTAGTTTCTGGAACTGTTAGTCTTAACCTTCACTGAAAAAATTAAAAGTAAAAAGGAGAAAGGAAAGAGACTGAAACCAAAGTCTATGTACTAATAAACTGTCCTGGGAAGAATTCCAAAATGCAGTAAAGACCAAGAAAATTAAATTACAGAAACCTCAAGCAATGTTCATCGTTTTACAAGCTGATTTGTCTCTTCCATGCTAGTTCTCCCAGTATGTAAAGCATCCTTGAATAAAATCCACTTGGTTACTAGATGCATGTCTCTAATTCAGATTATATACATGTCAGGTTAACAGCAGTGACACCAAATTTAAAACTATGATATAATTTTGATTCGTTATAGTATTGTGGTTGTGATGCTATTTTTGTTCATGAAGACACTTTTATTGTAAGACCTGATTTTTAGATGCTTAAATTTGGGGGAAAGAGATACTCTCAAGCTAAAATTTTTAATGCTGATTCCTTGCCTGGGAGAATATTTTGGATTAATTTTTTAAAGTTGTTTTGGAGACTGACAGAGGTTAAAACAACAAAAAATATTTTCCATATAATTTCAGAGGGTTCTAGGTTTTACTAATGATTTTGTTTCATATTGCTCACTGAAGATGAACATGAACAGAATTTAATAACAAAAATATATTAAATATACTTATCCATAAGAAAAATAAGAAAAATAAAACATGCAATAGTTTTCATTACAGAGGTATTCATTTGCCTTCATTAGCATTTAATTTGCATGTTCCTGGATACACCCAAATACAGGGTCATCATTTAGCCACTCTGATTAAAAATGATAGCAATAAGTAACCTTTCCACACAAATTTGGCCCCAAAGCTGGTACTACTAACCATTATATTCTATTGCTTCTATCTATCACTGCTAGGTATTCTCACATTTATGCCTGCACCCAGTCAAAGCTTTTTTCCAAGTTGTTGCTTCTCTTTCGTTCTTGCTTAGTTGGGTTGAAAAACCTGTAAAGAGATTTGGAGGCTTATTTTACCTTCCTCCCTTGTGACCAGAATAGGTGCTATAGCCAGGTCTTACTCTTTTGTGTCCCAGTCACATACGCTAATGCTCTAGAGACACACCTGTTTCCAAAGATAAAGGAATATCTAGCCCAAATTGCTGAAAGATTAGTAGGGAAAGAGTATATTAGAAGTCACTCTCCTAGGCCATGAAGCCTCCAAAACTACTTCTGACATAAACCTTCTCTTCAGCTCTACTCCTTTCACTCTTCTCATCCTTAAATGTATCTATTCTTTCTATCCCTAGCACTTTGCCTCACAGCCCTTAAGTACTTCATTGAATGAATGAACAAATGGGACAGTTAGGTTTGTAGAATCATGTTTGAGCATGTAGAATCACATGATCTGCATATGCAGATATTCCAGACATTCACTATAGATGACTTTTTTCCCCTTGAGAATATGTAAACTACTTAAGGTAAGCCTAGGTTACTGCTAACACACAGCAAATGCTTTATTTAAAAAATGAATAAATATTAAGTTAGTTATATATTTTATCCATTAAAATCTAGTCAGGTCCTCTTTTTAAAAACAAAATCTTTTTTAATTATAAATATTTTAAACCCACAAAAATATAATAAACCCACAATCCCCTACATACCAGCTTCAACAATTAGCAACCATTTTGCCATTCTTATTTCATCTTTTCCCCATTCTAATCCCCATATGCTCTTAAACAAATGGAAGGTTGCAATATATATTAATCTAGGGACATCAGACTTTAGAGTTAATAAAGCCCAAGTCCACGAATTAAAAACAATCAGTATATACCCAAATTAAAATAACATTCTTCTTAGTAAGAAGAACTCAAATCTATGAATAGCACTGGTTAAAGATCTACATGTGGCCGGGCGCGGTGGCTCAAGCCTGTAATCCCAGCACTTTGGGAGGCCGAGACGGGCGGATCACGAGGTCAGGAGATCCTGGCTAACACGGTGAAACCCCATCTCTATTAAAAAAATACAAAAAACTAGCCCGGCGAGGTGGCAGGCGCCTGTAGTCCCAGCTACTCGGGAGGCTGAGGCAGGAGAATGGTGTAAACCCGGGAGGTGGAGC